AGCAGAGATTATTGCTTATTGCCCTTCATTAGCTTAAATGCTTTCCTCTAGTTCTGCTAACTGGTTTTTGGCGCCTACGAAGTTTGTTGCATTATCACTGTAAATATTCAAACAACGTCCGCGTCGACTTTAAATCGTTTTAATGCTCCAATGAAAGCATTTGTTGATAAGTCGGTCACTAACTCGAGATGTACCGCCTTTGTGGCAAAACAACAAAAGACTGCAATATATGCCTTTGTTGGCTTTTTGCCCCTCACCTTGTAGTGGATCCAAAATGGTCCGCAATAGTCTACCCCAGCATTAATGAAGGGTCTTGCAGGAGTTATTCTTGATTCTGGAAGATTCCCCATAATTTGTTGGCATAGTTACGGACGTGCTTTGTTGCATCGCTGAACCGTTGCTCGGGCTGTTGATTTACCTATAATCGGCCAAAAACGTTGTCGTACTATATTCAATAGTGCCTGCGGGCCACAGTGCTTGTTTCTTCATGGAACATCACGAATAATAATTTTGCCAATGGATCATTGTGTGGGATCAGCATTAGGTGTTTAGAATCGTATGGTAATGATGAGGCTTCTAAGCGTTCTCCTACTCTAAGAACATTTGCATTATCAATGAATGGAGATAAACTACTGATTGAACTAGATTTATCAACATGGCCTTGTTTCTTCAGTTGTTCGATTTCTTCATGAAAATCATTACTCTGAATGTGACACAGACTACAGCTACATCCTTTTTCTTCTCCAGATCAACTGGAACTTGTAGTGATGATGAAAATCTTGGTGGCCATACTTCCTGCCTTCCATGCAAAAAGAACGGTCCTTGAAACCAAAGTGCACATGTTGACAATGCCCTTGCTGAAAGTCCTCTTGATAACACATCAGCTGGGTTGTCCTTTGACCTAACATGTCGCCACTGTTCAGACAGAGTTAAAATTTGAATTCTTGCCACCCTGTTAGCTACAAATGTTTGAAATAATGAGGACTGTGAGTTGATTCAAGACAACACAATTTCTGAATCAGTCCACAAAAATACTGGCCGGTCCTTTTCCTGAAGATCGCTTTTGACTCTTGCTGAAAGTTCCGCTGCTAGGACTGAAAAACATAACTCTAGTCACGGTAGCGTTTGTTTTCTGAGTTGTGCTACTCTTGACTTTGCACATAATAGTCGCACTATTATTCTACCATAAAATTGCTTTGACATATGCTGCAGCACCAAATGCCTTTTCAGATGCATCAGCAAAAATATGTAGCTGTGTTGATGATGGAACTTCGCCTCTGAAGATATGTCTTGCCACCTGAAGATTTTCAAGAGTGCTTAAGTTTTCTCTAAATGTTGACCACGTTGTACGAAGATCTGTAGGAAGTGGTTCATCCCAAGATAATTTCAACTGCCATAAGTGTTGTATGAAAATCTTTTCTTTGACTATTACTGGAGCTAATAAACCAAGTGGGTCGAACAGTCTAGGTAAATCAGAACTAACGACTCTCTTCGTGATTATTTCTTCAGTAACCATTTTGACCTTAATTCCAAATAAATCCGCCTTAGGCAACCAAAATAATCCCAGCTTTTTGATTGACTCGTTATTATCGAAATCTAGATTTACCTCTTGATCATCTTGAGAAATGTTTTTCAAAAGTTGAGGATGGTTTGCGCTCCATTTTCGAAGATAAAAATGATGCTTCTGCAAAATATGGATTAGTTGTCTTTGAGCTTCAATAGCCGTATTTAAACTATCTGATCCACCGAGCCCATCGTCAACGTAAAAATTGTCACACAGGATTTGAGCTCCTAATGGATAATTCACCTTATTTTCAAATGCTATCTTTTGCAGACATCTTGTTGCTAGGTAAGGAGCTGCTCGAGTCCCATATGTAATTGTGTTTAGCTGATAATAACGAATCGTAGAATTTGGACTGCTTCTCCAAATGATAAGTTGATAGCGCCGATCTTCAGGATTTATCAAAACTTGTCGATACATTTTCTCGATATCTGTGGTGAAAACAAACTGTGGTCGCCTAAAACGGAGCAGAATTGCAAAAAGTTCACTTTGAACTGTCGGTCCGTTATACATTAAATCATTCAACGAGTGTCCAGATGTAGTTTTGGCTGATGAGTCAAACACCACTCGAAGTATAATAGTTGTACTATCTGGTTTTAGTACACAATGATGAGGAATGATATATCTTGGAGTCAACATGGAATCCAGGTTTACTTCAGTCATGTGACCCAACCGCTCATACTCTTCCATAAACTGCACATAGTGTTTCCGCAAAACATCATTTTTTGCTAGTCGTCGTTCAAGACTGATGAACCTTCTCCAAGCTGTTTCTTGAGATTCCCCTAACGTCAATGAGTTTTCCAGAAACGGCAACCGTACCACAAAGCGTCCTTCTTTATTTGTATGGACGTTCTGAACAAAATGAGATTCGCATAGTTTTTCTTCTTTGGATAATGTCCTTTCTGTTGTATTCACCTCATCCATTCGCCATAATCGTTCAATTGCATCTTCTAACGATGAATTATTATCAACAGCCTCCACCCCACCACCAAAAACTACACATAATACGTTTGATGTGTCTGTATTTGATGCAACCTTGCCACTGACAATCCAGCCAAGTGTAGAATTTTGCAAGACTGGAAGCCCAGGAGCAAGCGTGATTTTACCCTTTTTAGCAGACTGAAATAGAACTCCGCACTGAGTAAAATATCAATTTTCCCTTGTTGGAAAAATGTTAGATCTGCTAACTGAATGCTGTTCGGGACCTTCCGTTTGGAAATATCGTAGCTGGAACTTGGTTGAAGTGGAACTATATTTGGAAGCACAAACGCTTCGACTTCTGTAGTGAACTTCGAGTTAAGGGATTGCAATTTGATGTTAACTCGCTGCGTTGAATTTTTGTGCACTTTTCCTATACCTTCTATGCACAATAACGATTTTGTTTTTGATATATTGAGCCTTCTGACAAGACGCTCAGAGACTATGTTCACTTGTGAACCAGAGTCTAGTAATGCTCGGACTGCAATTGTATTTCCATTAGCTGCAGTTATTTTGACTCTTGCAGTTGGCAAAAAAACGTATTCACGATGACCTGTGGATGTGTTTGCTGTCGCTGTGGCAACTGCAGTATTGTACCCACTTGATGTAGGTTGAATGTTTTGTTTTGTTTGATTGTTAACTTCCAAATGTAGCAACGTGTTATGCTTTTTATTGCATTTGGTACAACTTCTTGATAAACATATGTTCACCACGTGATCATTTTTAAACCACTTGAAACAGAGCTGTTGGTTTTTCACCCAATCCAATCGTTGATATGGTGAAAATTGCAGGAATTTACGGCAATGGTATGGCAATGGTTAATGGCAATGGTATTTCGATCTGCTTTAGTTTTTATGGCCACCTTATCTTTTTGTTCTACAACTTCCATCAGATGAAATTGTAGCTCTAAAAAGGCTAAAAACTCCTGAATGTTTTGTATCTCTTTTGGTTTTGCCAGAGATTGCTCATATCTAATGAGCATCGTCCGATCGAGTTTTTTAATTAGTACCTGTAACAAAATTGGGTCCCAAAAAGTCGTTTGAACGCCAAGATTGTTCAGTGCTAATAGACACTCTTTCGTTGTGTCATATAAATTTTTAACTGCTGCCACAGTTGATGTGCCTGATGGCTGATTTAGAAGTTCATCGATTAAGGTGGACGCCAAGACTCTTTTATTGTTATAGCGGTCTTGTAATATTGTCCAGGCTGCAGGTTAATTCTCCTCCGTTATGCTGAAATGACTGATTAATTTTTCAGCTTCACCTGTCACATGTGATTTCAAATACCACATTTTTTGAGCAGCTAGTAGTGGCTGTTTGTCTACCATTTGTGTAAACAAGTCAAATTGGCTCTATTTTAAGTAATTCCCATTAAAACTTGGGAGTGTTACCTTTGGCAATGGCAGTGAGGAACGCATATTTGTTTCTGCTACTGCTGCTTGTTTGTTTTGTAGTTGATCCAATTTTATGAAGAGCTCTATCAAACCTTGTTGTACCAAATCTTC